AACCATCACCAGAAACCAACACAGTGACATACGAAATACACCACAATACAAACACAACTGAGTAGTTACATATGCTTCATAAGTAAAAAGAGAGTGAAGAAAATAGAAAAGTAGGTTTGTTAAAATTGTGTTTCTAAAAATACAATTCATTATCAAACATTCTAGATGTCGACATAGCATCAATAAGGTGCTAAAGTATAATAAGAACATTAATAAGACAAACAAAAATAATTATGATATATTTTGTAATAATAGAATATATTATTATAGATGAAAAAATACTGTGAGTTCTATAAAATTTATGAAAGTGGCTAGTAATATAAAATTGATAACTAACCCAACAATCATAGATATTCCTTTATTAGGCCATAAAAAAAATATATTACTAAATAGTTTTAGACTTAAAATAATAATTAAAAACAATATTCAATACAAAATGACAATTGTTTCCTTATTTCATAAAATTTATATTTTAATTGTCTGCGATAATTTGTAAAAGTAGTATGAAAATTTAAAATCATTTATAATGACCTTACCAAAACACAATATAATGAGGGAAAAAAAATTTCCAATAGCCTTTGAATGAAATATTATAAGTAAGAAATTAACCAAAGTATGGTGAAGAAATATGTAGGGTAATATGAATGGCAAACCATTATGGGTTCTAAAATGGGTCAGGTGAAATTTATATAAGGCAGATCCAACAAAAGAAAGCTGGTAATATAAGGAGCTAGACAGCCATAGGGATGGACTCTGAAAAAATGAACTTTCAACTACTCTCCAATAATAAAAGGACAGATCTTTCAATTTTGAATTAATTCAGACTTAATAAAAATGTAAAATATTTTAATTTCAAGTTATAATAACCACCAATTTATAATTCAATCTAACACAAAATGACTCAGTTATCTATTTTTAAATTATTGTGAGGAACATGAAACCATCATTATAATTTCAATCTCCAGACATTTATTTAAGAGGAAACATGAAATGGCGATTCTTTAAAGTAATGTATAACATAAATTAGAAATATACACAAGATAAGAATGTTAGCATACATTTGGAAAAATCTAAACCTTAATTAAAAAAAAAATGTTCCACATTTTTATATAATGGTCAATATATACTGAAATATACATATTTAAAAATTAGATTAGAAAGTGATAAGGGTTTAAAAAAATAAAAGATTTTTATTGAGAACTTTACATTAAATGGATAATAATCATTTTAAAAAAAATATGTGTATTTGAAATCAATTATTTTTAAAAATAGATTATAGAGCTGGGGTATTTATTTTAGAAAATATGAAGAAAAAAAATGTTTAATATCTATTTTACTCCATCCAATATTGCTCACAAAATACTTTTTTAAAGAATAATAAGTAAAGATTAGATTATTGCTATGAATCAAAATATTTGTTCTGTATCATATTTTATTTAGTTTTACCTTTAAATATATTAGCTGACATTAGAACAGTGCTATTAAATTGAAAAAATATTACATTAAACAAATAAAAGTATGAAGTTCTATAAAACTGGATAATGCAATCAATTATATCAAATTGATAAAAGCAATGAGCTATGTAAAATGTATGAAAGTGACTAATAATGTAAAATAGGTAACTAACCCATCAATCATACAGGTATTCCTTTCTTAGACCATCCAAAAGTATAAATAATTGCATTACTAACAGTTAACATATTATAAAATTATCTTTGACCCTGAAATTTCTATTAATCCAAGAAAATAATTTGAAACTGGGGACAAGAGAGAAAATACAATCCTCAATACAAATGTATTTTGAGGATTGAAAATTAATATAAAACATAATTTTTAAATAAAGTAATAATGGATCAAAAATTAACTAATTTATAAAAGTTTAGACAGTGAAATAGTTATATATTTCTGAAAACTTTAATGAACTTTCAAATCAAAACTTTTAATTCAATCAATTACAATTGAAAGCAATTATATAATACAAGTTCAGGAAAAAATAAATGATATTTATGAAAACATGATTGGCTTAATAATATTGTGGTTTGTGGAATCCCTGAACAAGTGAAATACTACATTACTTTTGTTTTCGTTTTCAGTTAACCCATAATGTGCCCTTGACGCTACACTCTGTCAGGCTATGTTTTCTTGGTGGCTGTTTTTGCAATAATATAATAAGAAACTGGACGGGCTTATAGAAATATTGACATCAAATTCAGAGAAATTTTTTTTTTTTTAATTACAACCTTTTTGACTGTTTATATTAATTTCGGCAGATCCTATAATAAACTATTTTAACACATAAGCTAACAAAAAATAATTGATTACAAGGGTATGAGAAAGAGAAGTGATAGACGCAACAATGAATATAGACTGTCTCTTAAGAAGTTGCTGAATTTAGAATCACCCAGTGCCCTGAGTTGGTAAAATACCCAAGAGAGAAAGGAGTAGTAGATAAAGTCTTGTTGATTGGTAATTATGTGCCTTCCTAAGGATATGTTAAAAAGAATATTATTTATTTATTTCTGATTCTTTTAGTCAGGACTGTTTCAGCTTATATTTGGCTTTTTTACTAACAACATAGAGCTGTAACTTACTATATTGTTTTAGTTTGAATTAAAGTTTTTATATTTATATAAAGGATCAATCAGGAATCAGATAAGTAGCTACAAGTTATTAAAAATTAATAGATCCGTATTATGTGTAATTTAATAAAATAAATCAAAACAATAATTTCATACTTCGACAGGGAAGCGGAAGACGATGAAGAGTTTGCATACTAAGAAATCTGATCAAATCAATTTAAATAATTACAAAAAGAACATAGAAGAATGTAGAAGCAATTAATAGGTAATAATTAATAATTCAACAAAGTTAAGAGAGAAAATACAACAAAATTCATAATACAACTGTTGAGATTGAGTTCCAAAATATTAGTTGACCTTTTTTTTAAATATATTTTAGATTGCTTAATTCCATTTAAATTTAAAAATAATGAGATTATTATTTTTAAAAATTAGTGTTATTAATTATATGTTTCTTGTCCTCTGCCCACTAACTTAAGGACAAATTTAGAATTCCAGAACTATAAAATAAAAAATAACTATTCAACAGCTATATGGGGAAAAAAAGAATTTACTGATAAGAAAAGTAAATATTTTTCTGACAGACTTGTAGCAAGCAGGGTCTGGAAAAACAATTTGTTTTATTATAAAATTCATTGATAACATCTTTTTCATTGTCACATAATTTCCCTTTGTCTTTGGTGCTAGATCCATTTTTTTCCTGTAAGTTCTATATGTAATGTAAAATGTAAAATGAAAACACGCAGAGAAGTGTAGATAAATGAACAAATCTGTTACTGACTTCTGGTGTTTACTAATATGTAATGGCTGAATAAGTAATGCTTCATAATTTCAAATTTCTATACTTGGCAATCTACAATAAGCAACACATTCACACAATGATGAGTGAAGAATGTTCCTGATCTCAATAACCCCTTATGAAAAAATACTATTAAGAGTCAAAACTATGTTTGCACACTCTAACTTATAATGGCTCAATCAACATATGACAACAATAAATAATTAATTACTCAATCCTTGATTTACTAAATTCTTGATCAATAAAACAGTATTTTTTATATTGTTGATTATTTTTTTTTAATGATCAATAAATCTATATAAATTCATGAAAATATTTATTTTTTTTTTTAAAAAGAAGCAGTATATAACGTCTAAAGCCATATTTTGATTTCTAGCATTAGTTGAAATTAAAAAAAAAAAAGGTTTCGAACATAGTCATATCACTAACATTATTTAAAAAACATAGAAAAATGTGATAAGAGCTATGAATAAATAGTCTAACTTTCATTCGAATAATAATCTACATTTTTACCCAATTACAAGGTTTACTGTCATAAAAATATAAATATATTTAAGTATGTAGGGATCGATAAAGATCATCTTTGAAAAATATTTTATCACAACAAATCAACATATATTTTCAATATAAATAACAAAATGTCAACAATGAAATTAAAGAAAAAAAAAAAAAAAAAAAAAGCCCTCACTTTTTCCCCCTTCTTGTAAAGCAGGCACATATTCCTCATTACAGATCAACTTAATGACAATGTAAAAAGACTTTCAGGTCTAGTAAAGTTCATTAATAACCACACACCCATACTCACACATTTATAAAAAACATAAAGAAAATTGAACCAAAATTTTGCGTTTATAGCTCACAACAAAAACAGAAAATATAAATAAAACCAAATAAATGTTTTATATTTTGAATCAAGATTAATTCTCAAAAACAACAGAATTTAGAAAGGAAATTTATTGATAGGATCATCTTAAAATCTTAGGATAACAACGATAGTGCACTTTTTCATTTAAATAATAAAACACCATTGAAGCGTTTTAAAACTTGAAAAAATCATGGAGAAGCATTAATATTAAAATATGTTATTGTTTCATGCTTTGAATAAAATTTATGATACAGTTTGACACTAACTGAATAAAAAAACAATATAAGATAATTAAAAATAAATTTTTGTAATAATACAATTTAACGTCAATTATTAATTACAATATTCGCTGAATAATTTCTTATTCAAATTTTGATAATAGATAAAAAAAATCCTTGATATATATACTTGAAATAATCAAAGAACTACTAATTTAAGAATAATTTAAATAATAAACAATCGGCAGAAATGTAAATGACCTAATCCGTATGAAGTAACATGCTTTTAAAGTGCTTTAAATGTAACTCGTGCTTAGTGGGTTAGTAGTAAAAGAACAAAATGAAAACTGAAAAAAAAATAATAATAAAAAAATCATTAATTTATTATCATATGCAGCAGAATGCAAACTAGAAAATACAGATGGCATAAAGATTTTATTATGTTGCATATTGCTGTTGTACTTCATTTAAAAAATTCCATTTTTATAAATAACAGCCAGTACAAGCTTCAATCTTATAATAGTGAAAGTTTTACTTACGATCGCATGAAAATGGTTTTTCAGAATCCCCCATCTCACTGTAATTTATGCCTTTCTTTCTCCCTCTGCCTTGCCCAGTTCCCTAAAAAATTAAGACAATTATATTATCAATGAGACATAAAAGAGGATACATTTATTTCTCATTTAAAAGATATTAGATTTTTAAATAAATGAAATATATAGTAGAATCTCATTAATTATTTTCAGAATGGCTGGATTCGAAACAGAATTTTTATATCACTGTCTACTAAAGATGTAAAAAATAAGTGAAAATGGCAGACATTATTTTTAAATTTTGGCTAGAAGTAAACGATGAAGATGGTTCATGTTATCACATTTTAACAGAGAATATTGTAGAAAATGTAATTGCATCAAAAAGCTCTAAAAGGAACAAATATGACCAGAACAAGTTGAAACAGGTTATATTATTAACGTTAAGCCAAAACTTAGTAAGATTAAATACCATCTAAACATAATTAAATATGTTGAAGATAACAATGATGGAAGCACATCATCATGAATATGAAGGCATATTATGAACATTTGAGCCAGGCGATTGTGTTAATCAAGCAGGCAGTTCCTTTAAACCAGTAGCATGTCAAGTATGCTCAATTAAGGTGCCTTGAATTGCCACCTTTTAATTCTATACTACATTAATTATTATGTAATGGGTAATAATACTGTACCTAATACTGGATTGTTTACTGGGCAGAGTGCTTGAATGCACCTTGCTTCATTTCACAAGCTATTGGGTTTAATACAAACTTTCATTAATTCGGACTACCTAAATCTCTAAATATTTCAGATTAATGAGGTTCTACTATATTAATTATATGTTCTGTGCAACTGATGACTGGAATTTAATAAGAAGTTGAGGATTGGAAATCAGTTTTACTGTAAACTGATAAGGAAAATGTATTATAATTATAATGAGATAAATATTGTACATTAAACTGACTTTTAACCATTATATCCTTAATAAAATTATACATATTTAAAAATGCATCTGTATCCGGTTGAAATGGTTAATACTATAGCTGATTCTGTATTTCTTATTTATGAATAGGATCTTTTAACTTTCAAATTCGTATAAACATAGATATTTTATATCGACAGCCACACTGCAAAAGCATGTGTAAGAACAATTTCTTTGGAAAATGAGGTTTTGAGTTTTTCTGGTCAATCTTGTCCTGATGCATATTCTGATCTCACAAAATGAAATTTACGATGTTTCAATTCTTTTCTATGGCCTTTTGTACAAACCTTTAACTTAAAACCAGCAAATCGTGATGTAAAAACTGTAAGTTACAGTAAAGGTTAAAAAGATTGTATCGTTACCCAGAAAAGGTAATGAAATGCTCTATGAAAGATTTTCATAGAATGCATACGGCATAGACATAGATTACAGTATCAATTAGCTTTATTAATGGGCTAAAATACATTTTTCTCAATTTCAACACATTCTCAACAAACGGGCAACTCAATTTTCGGCAATCTCTGCATTATGAAAACTGACTTTGTTCCTGTCATGATTTGATCATTATTAACAAAGTTATGGGAGGGAGTTAATACAATAAATTTGATTGCTTTTACCTAACTAATAACTGTTTTTCAAAATAACTAAAAGGCTATAAGTTATAAGTAATGGCTCTAAAAAGTTATATGGCAGAAATACAATAAAAAAAGTTATATAGAGCATTATACATTTGCCTAAGGCCTGCAAAAAAAATTAAGCCAAAAATATAATTCTTATAGAACAAAAATTAGGCAGTTTTGATTATTTCCTGAAAATTTTTAGTTTTTGTTTTACAGGCTTTTGCAGTGTGGTTGTCGATATGTTATTTGTTATTCAAACTGTTTATTTATATTTACGTTTATTTTTGATATAGGTTAACTTTCATATATGTTTGTGAATTTCCTTATATATATACAAAAAAACATTGTAAGTTCATGGAAATGAACTTATTTCTCTTTAAATATTAGAAACATCAATTTGTTTTTAATTTGTCATTAGGAATGGCTTTGATGATTTATTTATTTCTTTAATAGAGATCTTCTCGGAGGGATTTCCCAAATAAAAATTTGTCAAAAAAAGTTCCTGTTATCTGCTATTCCTCGCATGGGGATCATCCCATGGGTAGATGTGGGGATGGTCGATTGAAATTCCTTTATGTTCCTCCCAGCTAAGCCTGATGGACTCGCTGACCAACAATGAGAGGGGCCCACCAGACTTGCTGGAGGGTGCGACGTAGGATTGAACGCCCTACTCACATATCTTTAGTTTATTATAAATCACAAATAGTCATGGATCTCCCTAAGGTAAAATGCTTATTATCTAGAGGTAAACTAATCCCCCATTCAAGTCTCCGGGTGAGGACTACTTTAGGGGATCCATAGCGCAAGTTGAAAAATAGCGATTTAGGTATTGGTATGTGGAACGTAAGGAGTTTGAATTCAGCAGGTGGGTTAAAATCGGTCGCGAATGAGATTAATTGGTACAATTTGGATATCGTGACTCTGCAAGAGGTTCAGTGGCCAGGGAGGGTTTGGTAAGGGATGGAAAGTACACTATTTGGTTGGTACCGGTGAAAGCGGGAATCATTGTTTAGAGACCGGGTTTCTAATTAGGAACAGATTGCTATCCGCTTTGAAGGACATGCAATTCTTTAGTGATAGAATTTCAGTAGCCATATTTCTGAGACGTTGGTTTATAATTGCATTAATAAACATGCATTGTCTGACCGAAGACAGTGACGATGAAGTTAAATGCGAATTTTACGATAAACTTAATGATAACGGGGCCTGTCTGATAAACTTTGCTATCTCAAAAAACATGATAATTAAAAGTATTATATATAAACATAAGGACATTCATAAGCATATCTGGACATCACCGGATTCACAAACACGAAATCAAATCGATCATGTTTTGATACAACATAGCGTAAATTAGTTATCATGAAACTTCCACAAAAACTTATATAAAAAAGAGAAAAGAAAACCGTTTCGATTTTGAGAATTTTAATTTGGAAAAATTAAAAAAATAAATAATTTGATTCCATTAATTAGAACTCAATTCGAGCTAGATATTAAGAATAGATATGAAGCTTCAGAACCTTCTGACGATGACCGCGATGATATAGACAAGTTATAGGTAGATATCAGTGATAATATTAAAGCAGTCTGTAACTTGTGTCTTGGAAAAAAGGAAAATAACAATTACAAACCATGGTTTGATGAAGATTGCTTGAACCTGTGCGAAAAAAGAAAAGCCGCTAAATTAAAAGCTCTAAATAATCCTAGCAAAGAAAATCTTAAATACTTCTGAACCTCAAAGAATGAAACAACAAAATTCCTCAAAAAAAGGGAGTATCATAAAAATAGAAATAGAAACTAATAGAATCGAAAATAACGTAAGAGACATGTACAAAGGTATAAACAGGTCATGTAAATGTTTAGGGCACATCACGCCTGAATTAGGGATGAAAATAACAATATTCTGACCGTTCCGGTAGACATAGTGAATAAGTTTAAGAATCATTTTGACAGTATTTTAAGTATGGGAAATTATGATGTGTGTCCTCTTTCAGAGTACCAGAGTGCTAAACCATTAATAGAAGAACCGAGTAAAGAGAAAGTTGAAGTAGTTATCGAAAAATTAAAATCTTATAAAGCATTCGGGAATTGATAATATTTCTAGTGAACTAGTTAAGGCATGCGGAGAAGCTGGAGTTTGTAAAACATATTTGTTGGTCAAAAAGATCTGGGAGAATCAAGAAATTACCTGAAGAATGGAAAGAATCTATTCTTATTCTGATTCACAAAAAAGGCCCGAAGGCGGGTTGGGTACTAGTTCACAAGAGTTCCGCACGGATTACGCGTGGTTCACAATCACTTCGATCACACTTGTTCATGGAATCCCGAAAACAGCCGAATGTTGTCGTCTTTTATGACGTCAGCTATTGTCCCTCTTAATGCATTTTTGAAAGAAAAAAAAAACGTATTCCCTTCGTGGAACTTCCTTATTAAAAATGTATTAACAAATTGTGTATTTACTTAATTAGTTAATTATTAATTTGCATTATAACGGTCATTACTGTGAAAGAAAAAGAAAACATATATAAAATAATGTTTGAGTCTTTCTTCAAGGCCTGTAAAAAAAAAATGCTTTTAGAAATAAAATTTTTATTGACACGTGCTTACATGTAGTGGCTATAAATACGCATATACTGTTGTATATTATCTATTATAAATTGTATAAAAGAGTTTTTTATCATTTGGATAATAAATAATCCGAATGGCGATTATTGTAGTCATTCGTAAAATAAAAAAATAAAAAATCGTGTTTATTTTCGAGCAAGGAATTAACGTATTGAGGAAAGAACTGAAGAAGAATATCTGATAATTCCGAGATAATGAATAATGGAAATCATAAATAAGAAAAATATTGTGAAATAGCATTCAGAGATGTAATAATTAAATGTTTTTATCTATTAATATTCCTTTTTCACATATATATAATATATGTGCATGTTCGATTCAGGTTTCATAATGTGTAGTCTAAATTTCGAATTTAAGTCAATACCTTAAATAACGTTAATATAACTGAACATGGTTAAGGTTATAGAAGTACTTAAATGGCGGGAAAGTTAATCGTAACTAATTCAAGAGATCGGTCGCCTTCGTTCTCTGTCGGATAAACCCGAAGGCATTCGGGATTCCATGAACAAGTGTGACCGAAGTGATTGTGAACCATGCGTAATCCGTGAGGAACTCTTGTGTACTAGTACCGCGGATTGTAATAACTGTCGAGGAATTTCACTCCTTCCGGTATGTTATAAAATATTTAGTTAAATCTATACTAGGCAAATCATGGAATATGTCGAGGAAATTATCAGACTAGCAATGCGGATTTAGATGGAACCGCTCGACTATTGATCAAATATTTTCTTTACAGCAAATATTGGAGATAAAATTAGAATACAACAGTGTTGTTCAACAGTTTTATATTGATTTAAAAAGGCTTACGATTCTATGGACAGCCAGAAACTGTATAATATTCTAATCGAGCAGGGGATTCCAAAAAAAATTAGTGAATCTAGTCAGGATGTGCTTGCCGGAAACACTCAATAAAGTTAGAATAGGTAAGAATTTATCCGAAAAGGTTGAGGTTTGTTCGGGTATAAAACGGGGTGATTCCTTTTCGCCTGTCCTGTTCAGTTTGGCATTAGAACATGCCATTAGGGAGGTAATGCCTACCAAAAAAGAGTTGGATCTGGTCCTGTTAAGCGAAGACACGGAAACTATAAAACTAAATCCGACAACGTTAATGAAAGCCGGTGAAGAACTAGGGCTAGAAATAAACACGGATAAGACAAAATATATGGTTAGCTGCAAAAATAGCAATATTGCCGGTGATATAAATATAGAAGGTAATATGTTAGAACACGTAGAGAAATTTAGGTATCTAGGGTCTACGATAACTAGAAAAAAACGGAATTGAATAGGAGATTAAGGTTAGGCTGATGGTGGGAAATGCCTGTTATTTTTCTGGATAAAACTAATTAGCTTGTGCCTCTTGTCTCGAAATTTCAAAACGAGAATCTATAAAACCATTATCTTAACTACAGTTCTTTATGGATGCAAAACATTAAGGGATGAGCAACGTCTTAAGATTTTTGAAAATAAAGAATTATGTAGAATATTCGGACTGAAGAAGGATGAGTTAACTGGAGAGTTCAGACAGTTACACAACGCCGAATTGTGTGAACTGTATCCAGTTAATATAATTGAGGTTATTACATCACGGCGAATCAAATGGGCTTGTAAAACTGTTGGGCTTAGTTACGACAGAATTCCTAAAAGGTTAATATTTGCTGTCCCAAATGGTAAATATCCAAGGGGTAGACCGAAGCGAAGAAAGGAAGATTGTATTAAAGCTGATCTGAAGGGACTGGGTTTGGACGGCGAATAGTGGAGGGAGGTGTGTAATAAGCAATTGGTGGTGTCGGCATTGAACCTTCGGGTTCGCTAAGCCTTTATCATTATTATTATTATCTGCTCTTCTTTCTAAAAATAAAATATTAATTGAAACTTTCTTTAATTTTTTCAGAAATGCAAAATTTAAGACCTTTTTGCATATAGAGGAAAAAAATAAATATGAGTTACTGAAGGGGGCTGACATGCATTGTTTTTAAATCAGTTAATGGAATTGAGAATTTTTTCTTAGAACTGCTAAATAAGGATAAACATTTAGGATACACGATTTAAAATATCAGTACTTCAATGGCTAAAAACAGAAATTTTAGAAAATTTGCATTGGATGGAAATGGCATCAGATTATTAACAATAATTCACCTAGACCTTAAAAGTTTGCTGATGATTTATTAGCCATATCAAGATAATACCTAATAAACATAAGGACCAAGTAGCTTGACTCTTAACTCTACTAAAATAAAGAGTATTGACAACACAAATGATTTAGACTAAATAGTATCATTCGAGGATACCCTTAGGAAAGAAAATAGTCTTAACAGAAAAAAGAACGGAATAGAAATTAGCAAATTGAGTAGCAATTGATAGGGGAAGCTCTTGAATGCTAAAATATCACAAACATGTTAGCTTCAAATGTCAGTTCCATTATGAATACCTTAGTTCCTTTTTTAGCATGAGGAGAATCTGACATTGTTGAGCTTTTGGCAGGCTTCCCAGGCGCTCCTCTCTTTTTCTTCTTCTTACTGTACGTTTCTTCATAATCGTAGTCCGAATCTGGATCAACATCATCAAAACCTTCCATAGCTTGCAATTCCAGCTCTTCATAATACCATGCGTCAGGCTAAAAAATATACAATTAACATATAATTAAGGATAAACAAATATATTTGAATAATTAAAATAAATAATTACAAGCATTGTAATAATATCAATTTAACAGTACCTTTCTTATTTGATAAGAATTAAACAAGAAAGTTACTAATAATAATGGATTATTAAAATAATTTACTAACTTTTGACATTGTCATTTTATTTTATGTTTAGTTTTTAGCAAAGAGCACAAGCAAATCTTTGAATATATTTATTTATGATATTTACAACTGTATTAATATAAATACTTCAAGTAAATGTGTACACAGAAATATAATCACATGAAAACGCTTGTTGAGAAACTACCCACTGGTAGCACTCTAATAATATGTCTACAAAAGGAGATCATGCCGCCATCTTCTTTTCAGATGCCTCAGAGGATTATCAGGAATTGAAGAGGAAGTAAGGTTAGAAACAAGAGGTCTTTATGAATTATTTTATTTGTGACAAAGTAAGGAGCATTAAGGAGTTTACAAAGGATTTTGGATTGTAGGGATTTGATACAAGAGGAATTCGATGGTTTACTGGAGCCCCATAGCTCAACTCCATAAGTCCAAATAGGTCTTATTATAGTCATGTATATGAGTCTTTTGTAATTAATTGGAAGATTAGATCGTTTGTTTGGTAAGTGTTGGAGTAAGTGGAAACGTCGAGCGGTTTCTAGTCGTTTCAGTCTCGTATGAGGATTCCAAATGGAGTCCTAGGTATCAGATTTGTTCAACAGAGATAAGTGTGGTGTTATTAAAGGATACTGTAGGACAGGAAGTCATAGGTTTACGACATTTGAAAATGTAGACTTTAAAGTTGTATTTTCATGTAAATAATAGACTAATACACTGTATTGAAGGTCTATGAAAAGAGGGTAGCATTGCATTTCATATCTGTTTCAGAATCACTTTTATGGATTTTACTACCGTTGAAAAAGAGAAGAACGCTGTTATATATGGTGTCTTCAAGCAATATATAAGCCATCATACTTCGATTTTTTTTATTCTACATTAAATGACGTTTCGAGCTGATTAGCTCATTCTCAAGTCATATACAGTAAACAATTAACAAACAATATTTATTACAACAATGATCGCTCATTATCTAGACATATAAAAAGTGAGAACTTACCAAAAATTTTTTATCTATGACAATTTATATTTACTGTCAATAAAAGAGAGTTAATTTTTTTAAATAACCCATCTTAAAGGTACTGCTATGTTCCTGGCCTCGGCGTTCCCTACGCGAGTAATGGGGTTTCCGAGGAACGCATATTATTTGTAATTAATACATATATTTGTATCATATCGGTTCCAGAAGGGAACCGATCTACAAGAAAAATATATAAATTAGGTATTTAAAGGTAAGATACCACAGACCCCCGTACTGTAGTATCCTAGATTGAACCATATAATTTTTATTGATTTCCTTTCTAAAGGTATCATGTTTATTAAATTTACTATTTGTTTCTATTTACTAATTGGTGGCCGCAAGTAGAATGTAAAATGTAAACTAAGATGTTTTACTACTAATATATTTAAAGAAGCTTAAATAAAAACCAAAACATCTATATACAATGCTAATGACTAAACCTATATACATAATATTAGTTGAGAATCATACATATGAAATGCTTGATAGGAGTTACTTATGTTCTATGATTTTATTAATTAATGATTGATGGTTGCCAACACAAATTTTACATGAGAATACCTAAATGGCTTGCTACCACTTAGCTGTCCTTCATATGTTTCTAGCCGTCATATCAGGGATTTCCCTGTCTCTGCTCTCCTTCAGCGTCTAGTCCACCATACTGCTCTCTCGGCTGTCTTCTAGCCTGAGTCCCACTATCATCCCAGTCTTGCTCCTCTCCGCTTCTCCGATCCCAGTCTCAGCCTGTGTCCCAGCTCTCCACCGCCGAGTCCCCAAGAGGAAGTCCTTCAGTCCATTCTCATTTCCCACCTTTATTTTCATCCCCCTCTCTTTGTTATTTCCTTTTTCCTGATTGGCTGAATATTCTCAGCCTAAGGGATGACCAACGCTCTCATCCCCCAGGCCCAAGGTCAAAGCAGCAGGTACAGATTCCATAATTCTGTGGAAGTGTGAAAATGGTTTTCGGGATCCTATTTTAAATCTCTCAGTTGTCGGTCTTGGTCGGTGGTCCATAAAGTTTTATTGCAACTTACAAAAGGTTGGCTGTTGGTCCGTTACCCTCGCTCATGTAGCGCCAGAGTTGGCACTTATGATAATTTATTCATTATACCTTTCAACTAATTATTCCACCGGCGCTCTTTACAATACATAGCAGTACTTTAGAGAACGACATATATGAAAATTGGGCATTTAAACCCTGTAAAGTGGCATAAATGGGGATAAGACCAAATGATATTAAAGACCACTTAATTATAAAATAATACATCAAGTTTCATCAAAATCGTTGGAGCCGTTTTGGGAAAATTGTAAAAATGTGTTTCACCGTTGATATAATGTGGCACTTCTGGTTTGCCGATTTTAAGGAAAAAATTGCTGTAACATACGAGTCATATACCTATTTTAAATACATAATTCCAGTTTTGTTCGACTTTTTGTTTTTGAGTTAGACTGTTCACATACAAACAGACCATTTTGCGGGACTTGATTATTTGGACCCAGGGGACCTCAAAACGTGAAAATTCAGATTCGAAAATTTTCACGATTGCAATATTTTCCCTTACTATATGTTACATATATAGGTAAGTGAAAGTAAAAATAATATTCCTCATCTCATTGCTTGTGCATCTACTGATGCTTGTCATTCTACAATCAAAAATGTGTGTATGCGATTATTTCTATTATTGATTCCTATTTTGTTTTATTTAAAATATATGCTCATACCAAAAACTCGGTACTGCCTCCTCCCTCTATTGTTTAACATTTACTGCACATTTTAGCTCTTTGGGGATGTATATCCCTGTAGGAATTAACTAAATAACTAACTGAATGGGATATACCTCTGTTGATGTTTCAGTAAATGTGCATACAATGAGACAAGGAATATTCTTATTATTTTTTGTATTTGGTGTACTACAAATGAATGTTCAATGAAATTATAATATAGAAATATATAAACTATTTCGATCAATTTTTTTTTTATAAATACGTACTTTTATATGACTAGATAATAAGTGATCATTGTTGCAAATTATGCTTGTTGATTGTTTATTGTAGATGATTAGAGAATGAGCTAATCAGCTCGAAACGTTTGATTAATAAATAAATTAATAGAATAAAAATGTTTAAAGTATAAGGGCTTATTCCTTGAAGACACGATATATAAGAACATTAAGTGCCCTTGGAAAGTACTACTGTAGTAGAGAAGAATGCTCTGTTAGTGCTTGTTACTAGTCTTTCTGTAGGAGTCGATCATTTATACAGGCTATTGCAGAACTGAGGTACTTGAATCTGCCCATTTTCAGGAATCTATAGGACTTAGAATCTATAGCTTCTGAAGACTAAATGCCATACCATCAATGTAGACTAGGATTTTACATTTCATTCAGACATGCACCCCTCCATCTTCACATCATTTTTATCATCTTCTCCTGAGCTAAGTTGAAACTGGTTTATCAACTTCAAACCTTCTGTTACCTCAAATCTGTTTGAACTTCAAAGACTTCAGATACTTTCTTCTAGAGAGTTTTTGCCCACAAAATTATAGGCTACTTATAAATTGATGAAAAAGAAAGATGTTTTAGGATGCAGATCTGATCTAGAATGCTGCTTTCTCTTCTCAATTCTACTGTTTTTAACATTGGTTTGGTTGTACCTCTGAAACAATCCTCTCCCCTATCCTCCCGGTAGGCCAGAAAAGGTGGGATAAGATACTATTAAACAAAAAAATGATTCTGAGTCATAAAATCATGCTTCCATCGGCTGGTTTGTAAAGTTCTCCGACTTTTCTCAGCTCCATGAATACCTATTAATTTAAAACCTGGTACGGTTTTGAAGTTTAAAATAAATAAAAAATCTTGTGTGGTACGCACATCACACAACTTACACTTACCAGCTTTCTTTTAGGAAAAATAGATTTTTTCAGACAAAAATAAGAGAAAGTAAAAATCCCAACAGTACACAATATTTTTGAAACAATCAAATACAATATGTTTTTCTCAGTCATCTAATGTATTATACTAATATTTTTTTCCACTAATCATTGTCTTTAATGATTTTATATTTTAATTATTTATTTGATTATAATAAATAATCAAGTGCTACAAAAGATTTTTAGTCCGACTTGAGTGCCACTGATAATGAAGACTACTAAATTTATAAATATTTCATTGTAGGTATTTTTATTTGATTAAGCATTCGTAAATATAAATAAATTTTGAATTTTTGTATTGCTGTAATCTATACAATTAAATATTAAATAATACAAATATTAGCATTTATGAAAACTGTGCATGCTTATGTATAGAAACCTGTTGTAAACCTTCGGCCAAGTTTGACTGTTCCCTCGGCTTTCATCTGTTCTCTATTAATAAACAATTAAGTTAGGTTAATTCTCCTTTAGTCAAATTCATTCATATTTCATATTCAATAATTTTTTATGTCACTTTCCAGTGTGAAATGATTAATTATTTCAAATACAAAAACTTAAAAGCCACTTAAGAGGAAGAAACTTTGAAAATTAGGTGTTTAATCCCTGATACAGAACATCAATGAGGATAAGATCTACATTATATTAAAAATTGTTCAATTTTACACTGATGTAATGAATTTAATAAAAAATGTTAAAAGTCGTTTTTGAGAAAATCATAAAAATGTTTAAAATCGATGATATAATGTGGCACTTCTGGTCAGCCCATTTTAACAAAAAATTTTGCTGTAACATCCCAGCCATATACAAACCTTTGATACAAAATTTCAGTTTCAAAATATTTTTTGTTTTTGAACTAGACTGTTCACAGACAGACAGACTTTCACATAGGTATGTAAGTAAAGTAAAAAGGTTATCCACTATAGGGAATAAGAGGACATAATTATAATATAAATATTATAATAATGTAATAGTTTTAGTTTCCAGAAGAGTGGAAATCAGGTATAATTTATCTGTAAATAGTATGACCAATCATAGAAATCAACAAATAGATATCCAAAGCTATCTGGCAAAGATTCAGAAATCTAACAACTTAAAAGATAAAAAATGCTGTCCTTAAATGAATAGCGTATTTGACTATATTCATAATGAGTTCTAGTGAGTAGAGGATGTAATATTGTAAAAAGTTGATGAGATGGAGAATATAGCAAACAAAGACCGCATGTATGGAATATTACTAGCTTTAAAACAGATAGCCTAGCCAGTGATCAACTCTTCTGAGTAGAGCTTTAACGAGGTTAGACAATCGGCTATACTTCAACTAGCTAGAGGCTTGTTAAGTTCTCCTAAAGGCCTTAAATTGAAGCAGCCTTAGACACTAAGGGATAATCTACTTATTTACTAGGGATGGGCGATAGTCATTAACCATAAATAGCACTTTTAATACCTATTACGAATACTGAAAGTCAACAAAGTGCGATGGTGCCAACACTCTCCACTCCTTAATCAGTAATATAAAAAAAAATTCCATCTAAATTAAATTCTTTAAACTATTTTCTGAAATATACTACAAATATACTAGCAGCTATGAGACTGATGTTTGAAAAACATATTGTGGGATGATGACATGTATGCTAAGTGATCCAAAACTATGATTTTAGAAATGATAACCACTAGCAAGACGTATAATGACAAATGTGAGCAACATTCTTACAACTAGGAAGAAGACCAGGTAAAATTTGCTTAAATTAAACATTTACCTGTGATTTAACTTGGGATTCGTCTTTTACACCAGCACTATCTTTGCTATCCTCACTATTTGCAGCAGCTGGGTTCTCAAATGTACTGATAGTATGGAGATCAACAGACTCTCCAGGAACTACATCCAGTCTCCGTAATTGTACTTGAGGTTGCATTAAATACTGCCTTCTCTTTTTCCGCCATCTTTTAGATGGGTAGGTGTAAACTTGACCATGCTGAAGACCAGGGATCCTCTCTCTTGGACTCATAAATAAGCTTGAATGATTTTGAGCCACACCTTCAACAGTCATGGAAAATTATAATTATTTGAAGAAAAAAAACTATTTATAAAAAACATAAAAAAACTAAACATTAATGTTAATAACTAATAATAACTAAATAATAAGAAGTTATTTTATGTATATACTCATCCAACTAGTAGACATTCTCTAAAATGGACCTTACACAATTTATATTAACATCCTTCGATAACCTGTTTGGATATACTAACAATAGATTTGGTTCTCTGGGTGAAGAAAAGTATTAATCTGTACCACTAACAACCCATGAAGGGTCCCTAGGTTCAGTACAATGTGAGAATGTGCTATTACAAAGCCAGCGGTTGTGCAGGGAGGTGGCCCTATCCTAGGATATGAGCCCCAGGCACTGATTTTCTTACTGAATTGGAAAGATTCCATCACAGTAACAAGAGTTGTATATTCCAAGAAAAGTCCTGACCAATGACCATCTTTAAATGCTACATGGGGAAAGTTAAGGTCAGCAACTTTTGAAATACCTATTGTAGGCTTGTGTAGTACAAATATTGTTTAAAAGTGAAATGTCGTAAAAAATTGAAATTATATTCAAGTTAGAGATCTGCTTCGGTCGTGACAGCAACTTTTTTTATAAATTGACTAATACATATGGCACCTTGCGACCATTTTCTTGAAAAAGGCTTTGCCAAATATGATTAATTTTGTTATATCAATATACAATTTAAAGATACTTTATATCAGCTCAGTCTTATCCTCACTAAACTTGACTGACAGATCTTCAATACCGAATTTACAGAATTTCTATCTCTAAATTACTTTTCATTTTGTTAAATTGTAACTATTAACTGCCTCAGTTATAATTCAGTCATATCAGACTCAGTTATAACAATTATAATTAAGACCCGAATAAATACATAAATATGCAACTGATGGTATAAAATGTCACTTTCAGTTAGTCAATTTTAGTGAAAAAGTTGCTGCAACATCCGAGACAAATAAATATGTAATTTCAATGTCATATGACTTTATGTTTTTCAGATCGACTGTTCACGCTCACACAAGCACGTGTGCAGGTCATACAGACCATTTTGGAAATCTAGATTATTTATTCTCAGAAGAACTCAAAACATGTATTTTCATTAAAAACTTGGATTCGAAAATTGACACGATTTCAATACTTTCCCTTACTATATATTTCATATTTAGGTTAAAGGGCATAAGATTAATTTACAATGAATGAAATTATAATGTTTAAAAGAAGGAGATGGTCCGGGGTGGCAGTGACAAATAGGCTGAATAGTGGCAAAACTATTTTATTAAAAACCTTCTGGCTTTTCTATTTATGACCGCCACCCCGGACCATCTCGTTCCTTTATAATGCAATGGTCAACTATTAAATATTCAATATAATGTTTAAAAGTTGTTAATAATAAAGCCAACTGGCTTTTAATAAAATAGTTTTGCCACTATTCAGCCTATTTATGACCGCCACCCCGGACCATCTCCTTTCTTTATAATGCAACGGTCAACTATTAAATATTCAATATAATGTTTAACAGTTGTTAATAAATTTATTGAAATGTTATTATTAATTATGTTTCAAAAACTTATCATCTGATAAACATTAAGTAGCAATGCAACACATTGATATCGACATTTTAAGATTATTCTAAAATATACTGGGTTATAATCAAATTTCTTGCTTCTAATATTTCCACATTTAAAAAACACATAGGAGTTGACATTAGAAAGTCACAAGGATTTTTTAAAATATGATGAATATAAAGTTATAAAAACCTGTTTGTGAATCTAAGAAAGGCATCCTCATTCTTCTTTCAATACATAATCTAGTGTTATAGTTTGCAGAATTTTCTATCGCTTCTCGATACGAAGTGTCATTCATAAAGCTGAAATAATTGATAATAATATAGATTAAATGATGACATTTTAACTGGACAATATGTTTTAAAATTCAATCGTTATGAAATAAAAATGGAAGTTTTTTAAAGTTAATAATCAAGTAATACAAACTAAATGGATAATTAGAAAATTAAGATATCTTTGCAAATTAGAGATGAAATTACATAAGTATCTGATCATTAGTGGTCTCTGGAGTTGATATAAAAACGAATGACATCATATAAATTATTAAAACTGAATTTACTGTATGTCATTAATACTAACTTTGGTAAAACAACAGAAGTGCCACATGAGGATGACAGGCAAAACAAGAACCATATCGATCACACTGTAGATGGAATGGCTAAGGTAGATTACACATCCCTAATTTGACAGTTTAGGTTACAATTCAATTCAATAATTAAATTGTTAAAATTACCAATTATAAGATGTATAAAGAATTACAGGTAATTTTAGTTATAGTTTCTACCATAGAAATTCCTGGATAAAAATATCTGAAAATACTATGATACTGAATAATATAAATTATCAGTAAGAAAAAATATATATTATGAAATAGTATACAGTAATATAATAATTAGAGGTTTACACTAATTACTACTTTTTTTTTTATAGCTGTTGTATAATAAACTCCATTCAGGACACCTAATGCAACCTAAATATCTTGAGTAAGTTGGTTGACACTAATCTTAACCTGGTTATGGGTATACAACTACTTTAGTGTCAGGTAAGTTATTTGTAACGAACTCAAGAGATCAATCACCTCGGTTCTCTTTGGATAAACCCAAATACTTCCAGCATTCCATGAACAAGTGTGACCAAATTGATTCTTAATTATGCCTAACCTATGTGGAGCAATCGTGAACTAGTATCTCAATGACTTTTAGTAAAGAGGTAATAAGAATTAAAGGATCAAAATGAAAATTCATCATTCCTCTGTGAAATAACCTTTTGTGTGATCCAACTTTATTAAAATTCATTGCTCCTGAGGCAGAAAAAGGAGCTATATTGTTGAATTAAATATGGTGCAGATTTTGACTTTTGATATTTTTGGAGTTTATCTTAAAGTTCAGTATTTCTTGTAATGTCAAATTCTCAGATATGATTTCAAAACAATCTTATCAACAAGAATGTTTCTTATAAAATTAAGTTAAAAGAATGGTAAATTTAGCATTAGCAGTTCATTATTTATTAACTATGGTTCAATTACAGTTAATGAGGAGCCAAATCCCTTATTTAGGAAAAAACTAGACACATAAGTATTTTAAAACTTCAGAACTTTTAAAAACTTCAGTTATGGTAGCTAGGTAATTATAGGTAGCTATTATATAAAGATAATAAAAAAAAATAAAAACAAAGAATAAAAAAATATCTACACCGGTAAAACCATTTGATTTAATAGTAGAATTAATATGGATTTGAGGCTGGTTTTTACCTTTCAATTCTGCTCAGAACGGAAGGGTTTACTACTTGGATATCACAAGCCATCTTGAATTTGTTATATCTAACTAGTAAAAATTTCAAAAATTACTCAAACTAATAAACATAGGTGACCATAAACGAACAGTGTATTAGCCGACAACTGAAACATAGTTGGTACCGAATTATTTACTATTATGGACCCATTCCCACACAACTTATATCGATCAAGCCTCACCAACAATAATACCATTGAAACTACGTTACCAACTTTACAAACTTGAAAATTTTAATTGGACATAAATAACTACGAATATATTGTGTTTCAAATATAATATTTTATGGAACATAATTTCGTTTAATAAACGATTAAACATTTGAAAGTATTTATTTATAATTATAAAATTAATTTGAGTTGTACAGATTAAATAAATTTTAAAAGCATAAATATTGAAAATTAGGTAAAGCTTCATTTTTGTCATAACAAAAATTGTTTCTACTCATTTAGTTTCTTTTTTATCTGTAACTTGAATCTATTTGTTATTGTCCGGGCCGTCACGTGGGGACGTAGGTGCCTGAGGTGAAATTTGGCACCCCCCCCCTCACACCCAAGTCACACAGTAGAGACATTATTACACAAACCATGGGACAAACTGTTGTTTGGCTAGGCAAGTATCTTTGTTTCTTGTATTTCATATTTTTTATATGCTCTAGGTATCAAGAGAAATAAAATAAATTGTATGGTTTAGCAATAATGTCGTTGTTAGTTGAATTAGGTAATTGTTCCCCATAGTTTGTTAAAATGGGTATAGACATTTCACAAACTATGGGAAACATAATTATCTAACTTAACTAACAGCAACATTATTGCTTAACCATACTATTTATTTTATTTCTCTTGATACCTACAGCTGATAAAAATATCGAAAATAAGAAACAAAAATACTTGCATAGCAAAATAACAGTTTGTCCCATGGTTTGTGTAATGACCTATCTCCTCTATCTCTTGATACATCTAGAAATTTCGGATAAAATACTAAATTACAAGTGCCGGAGTTTCTTAAAGCAAGCGCCTGAATATTCCGAATCGTAGGGCACTGAGGTGAATGTTATCACTTTTGTTTACTTTTCTTTTTAAAGAAAATTTTATCTTAATAACCATTACCTCTTTTGTACGAACGGTTTGCTAGTCGTCTTAACTAGTTGCTTTTTTAATAAGTGTTGGCTCAAGGCACGTCGACCCCCCTATTGTGCGTAGCTTTTCTACTTTAAAATATTATTTTTGCCATGTTCATGCAGACAAAGTTTCTTATTTTGTTTTTTAAACAACTTGAACATACGGGAACAATATTTAGACCATGCTCTACAAGCTTTGCTCGAAAACTACCACACCTCGTGAAAATAAATCAAATAATAACACAGACAAGTGACCGTGTCGCGATTTGACGGTATGAAGGTAATTTATCAGAGTAGCCCTTTTTGAAGCCGTGAACCACCACCAGCTCCATTCAAATTTATTATCTGAATACTACATTCAAGGTTTAGTTAACGTTTAGCCTACTTCAAATCATCATTAGGCTAATTGAATCCCATTCTTCCAATAGAGCTGCTTTGAGTTTTTCAATTCAAACACCATGATTTTTCATGTGCCGACCTAATTCTTTCCAGAAATGTTGTATTGGGTTCATGTCTGGTGATCCAGGGAGGAGTGTGCAACTGTTTTGGAACATTGTCGATTAACCATTGTTTTACTTTCTTGGCAGTGTGCTTAAGATCGTTGTCCTGTTGAATAATAAATCCCGGTTAAGTCAAATTTTTTCAGCAGAACTTTTTAAATTGTTCCTTAGAATGTTTAGGAATACACACTGGCCCATAATCATATCAATAAAAACGAGTTTGCTGACTCCTAAAACACTTATATGGCCCCTTACCATTACAGTTCCACCTCCAGGCTTGAAAGTCGGTCACAAATTCTTTGAAATAAGTGCTTATTTTTCTTTTCTCCAGTCATGACAGCTGGCATCTGGTACAAAAAGATTGAATTTGGGTTCATCTGAGAAGATCACAAAATCCCAGAAACTTTGTGGCTTATTGGTTTACTCCATGGCAAACACCAATGTCTTCTTCTTATTTGTTTGGCTTTTTTCATGCAATTTGTCTATGAAAACCTGTCTTTCTGAGAATATCTCTGACAGTTTTTGGATTTAAGCATACCTAGTAATCTCTTTCAAGGCCACTGGATAAGGATAAGGCACTTGTTCAGGGATTAGATGCACCTGGTTTAGAATAATTCTCCTATTAATTCTATCCAATTTTATTAGGGCCGGTCTGCCAACAGTTTTAGTTCACTATGTTTGTTCAACACGTTCTGCACAGTTGCATGTGATTTATTTAGTAAAATTCCAACTTTTCGGAGAGAAAATCCTTGACTTCTCAATCACACGATTTGGTCACGAATACACATGTAATATAAATTTATAAATGCGTAATAATGATTTGAAGTAGGCTGAACCTTAACTAAACCTTGAATGTAGTGTTTAGATAATAAATTTGAGTGAAATAATAGCATTGAATTGAAATAGAATTAAGATTTTGTAGATGTATGGACACTTTTTTGACATTCAGATTAAAGTTGCATCTCTTCCTGCTCTGGGATTAGTGATCCAGCATGAACTTGTTATCATGTTGATTGCCTCTTGCCTCTACTACCCTTCCTGATTAATAAAACTAATATAATAAATAGATTATTAGCAATGTTAATGAAAAACAAACTGTATGGAAACTTTTTTGAGGCAGTGTATATGATCTTATATTTTTCACTTCTGATTATGAAAACATTAATTAATTAGTTGTTCACTGTTACTTGAGAGGCCAATCTTTGTCTTGGAATTTTCCTGTAATATCCCATGTGTGCTTTGAGTTATTATTATGTTTTTTATTTATTTTTACTTCCCTACCACTACTAGGTAAAGATAGTATTATAAATTGAATAAAATATTTTATGTGCGGGTTTCAACAGATCTATAGGTTCGACCTTTACTTTGGTTCTTAATTAAATAATCGTTAATTTGTTTAATTCTACTGTGATATGTTCATATTTTATGGTCTCAAAAATATTATCTATCTGAACAACATAATCAGAGAATTTTTACATTCATGGATAAATTTAATAGCACTATTATAATTTTTTACAATAATTTTATATCTGGAAATAATATTGTAAAACTTAAGAGATGGATGAATGACTACTAATAATTCCTTCTCAGTTGAGAAATAATTTAATTTACCACTTTTGAAAGTTTACTGAAAAAGGATAGTTTTTTTTTCTTACCCCTACTTGTAAAATTTGAACTGTTTCTATAAAAAAATAAAAATAAAAGTGTCTTTAATTCATGATAGTACAATTCAATATCTTCTGACAATTTCAGTTTAAGAATTTTTCTATGTGAAATTCCTGTTTAATATTGAAGTTAATTCGGTTTTGTTAGATCTGTTTAATTTTATCAAAATTTGTTATAAAAATTAAGTGTTCAAATTAAAACAAACTGTGGTGGTTTGATGATTATAATTTTTTCTTGATCTTTTCTAATATCATTGGCTGTTAACACATATCCCAAACATTGAACAGTTTACTTAAAAAAACGGATTTTTCCAAATTTATAGTTATTCTTACCTTTTTGAAAACTTTTAATCATTTTTCTAAAATATTTAGTATTTTTCTCTTCTTTCTGCATGTAAAAGGGTATATTCCACTCAAAAGCTCACTAATATTTTTTTTCATTAAACAGAGAATTTTATGCTGTTTTCATTAATATATGGTTGTATTGGGGTATTTGGAGAGAGATTTTAGCTACAGGTAGTTTTCGATATTTTTGTCACAACTTTGAAAATTTATGTCTAAGAATTTTTTTTATACATGAGGAAAAATTATAATGATGAAACTCATGGTATCAGCATATTCTGCATTAAATTTATGAAAAATGAATAAATTTGGAAAGTTATAGTTCCATAAATATCGGTTTTTCCTGGGAAAAGAGATTGGTTTTGAGCTTAAAGTGTCATCCCAACTTCAAATATTTCAGAAGTTTAAATGCCCATAATTCTGAAACTAATCTTTAGAATCGGGTAAATCCGGGTTCCAGTGAGTAAAATCCAGTAATAGTATTACCGTCTTGGAAATTGTTATTTGGCAGGGAGACTTGTTTGGAGTTACAAGAGAGAGGATCTCCAAGGGAGCTAGAGTTGAATAGATGAAAGTGTCACGATTTTGGAAGGTGTATTTGTTTTATATATATATATAGAGGTTTTTATATATATATATATATATATATATATATATATATATATATATATATATATATATAAAAGTTAGCTTTCCAATCCAAACAACTTTATTTTAAAATCAGTGTTTAATTTTAGTATAAATAATAATAGTTTGTCTGAGTGTTTTGATCTAATTGTCTGTAACATATACTTGAGATAAAATAATTATAAATTTCAATTTAATATATTAATACTCTTGTAATTTTGTTTATTATTTAAAAACCTCTTATGTATTTAGGAATTATCCCAACAGTGTATAGTGATCTTCCGAGATTATATTATTATTATTATTTGTAAAATGTAAGAGAGAAGCTACACTTTATTTTTAGTTTTTTTCACTCTTCTTGATCAATATTAAACTCTTTACAATTTTCATCTGCATAACATTCAATCTGAGTTTATGTTCCCTTGTTAATGTCGAAGTTTGTGCCCCATAGGGAATCATAGGGTATACACATGCAGTCAGAACTTTGACTTCAAGTTCTATTGTTAAATTGATTTCAATAATTGTTTGGTATTTATATAAAATATGTCATTATTATAGTTTTTCCTGTTCTTATGTTCAGTCCATATTCTTGACTTGTTTCTACTAATTATTTTTTCATTTTTCTGATGCCATTGATGTTCGGTGATATTAAACATATTTCATCAGCAAATCTTAGGTTTCTCAGTATTTTCTCTGTATTATCCTAAAAACTTAATTTTTCAAAAGCATAAAAGTTCCAACAATATGTATTATTAATTATTAAACCTCTTTTCTGTTTTTATAACTCTAGACTTCCGAGACATATGTTAAAAATGATAATTTTTTTTTTTTCAAAATGAAGACAATAAGATATGAAGTACTATTATATCTTCCACATATTCAGTAATTTATTATATTTAAAAACGGCTTTCAAATGTTGAAGAAATAGAGTTCTCTAGTGTTGAAGAAAAACCATTCCAAATTGTCCATTAAAAAAAAAAAAAAAAAAAAAAAAAAAACCCTTTTTACAACATCCAACTTTATCAATTAATTTTTAATATTAATACTTGATGAATGGATGTTTAGATAACAAATTTTTTAGTTTTATATCTAAAAATAATTGTTTGGAAAATAGATCTAAACTATGGGAGCATTGTTATTTCTTTATTATTATACATTGATTCTTTAATATTTTTAAACAAGTTTATTGATTTTATTTGTTTAATATAATCCAATCTTGGTTAGTGCTTTTGAATATCAATAGAAAACGCTATAGAGTTTCTTATGTAGACCAAGCCACTATTGTTATGCTACAGTTCATAGACAAAGGATAACTATTGAATGCTTGAACCAAATTATTATTAATTTCATTTTTTAAAGTGTTATCCAAGCATATAAAAAATAAATTCTATTTGTTTCTTTAACCAGATATCTTAAAATATTCCCAACCCGTCTTACCTCATACCTCACATGTATTGCCACCTCACTCTTCGATTATCCTCAACTCACTTAAAAACCAGGTAAGACCTATTTATTAATACAAAAGTTACTATTTATTTTTTTTAGGTTCAAAATAATGAAATTTTGTTGATATTTCTATTTGATTCTATAGGACTATTTTGTTAGTTTTACCAACGTTGTTTGTAATTGTGTTACTTATAGAGTGGGGATTGACAAAGTTAGAGGAGGATTCCATCATTTGATGTTATAATGAGTTGGTGGACCCACCATTTTTAGAGCCTCCTGAACAAGGAAGAAGAAGAAGATAATGAAAATCCCCAGGAACTCCATCTGGATTAGTCCCTATAAAATAAGGAAATCCATGGAGATGACATAGAAGCATCTTCTGAGAAGGAAGAGGTTCTCAGAATGAATAATTATGAAGCTCCTGTGATTGACTTTATCTAGTAGAACTGTTGAAATATGGCGGATATACAATACTTAGTGAGCTGTATGAAGTAATTTTCGATGTAAGTCTAATTTCGATGTAAAGGATACCAGGCCGCAACTCCTTTTAATTTTTCCATGGAGGCAACAGTGCGAGGTATTATGACCAATCCTGGTGAAACAATCTACATTAGATACACACAGGTATTGGCTTACACTGACGATGTCCATCTGGTAGCAAGGACACTTCCTGCACTGAGTGGGACGTTGGAAGAGTTGGAATGTAAGGCCAATAAAAGAGGACTCCATATCAATGAGAGAAAAACGAAGTACATGAATAGCAAGCATTATATGCCCAGCCTTATATTGTGCCCATAATAAAAATCTGTTGTGGTTCGCGAATCGCACAACTTTCACTTACCACTCTACATTGAGTAAAAATAGCTCTTTTCATTATATGATGTTTAGCTCAGAACATAGAAGTCATTAGCGTCTGTATTAAAGTAATTCTAATATTAAAACATTTAGCGAGTAGGAACTAAAATCATAGATGGAACAACATATTTTTTTTTTCTATTGGTATTACAGACCATGTAGATCATTGGCGCCTTAACAAGCCTTTTTCATCTCTGTCTGCCTTGGGCTATTTCTTTCCATTTATCTGTACAAAGCTTTATAGCATCTTTGTTAATTATATTTATCCATCTGCTTTTTAGCCTTGGTCTTTTGTCTTCTACTGAGACATTCGTTGTTACGTAGGAGCTTTCAGATGGATAGCTACCTGCTACATGTCCTGCCCATCTTAACCTCCGTGCGTTCATATCATGGGATATTGCTTGACCAGTTTCTGTAAGCAGTTCTTTATTGGTCTTTCTTCTTCATGTGTTAGTACTCTGACCCCAGACCACTCCGATTATCGTGCGGAGAATTCTTTTCTCAAATCTTGCAACACTTTTTTCTAGGATGCTGATTAGTATCCAGGTCAAACAGCCATACATTAGAACTAGCTTTGTCATAGCATTAAAGGAAGAAATTTTATAAAACCTACCATATATTAAAAAAACACTTACCGGTACTTTAGCATAACTAGTTTAATCAAAATCATTGGAACGATTTTTGAGAAAATTGTAAAAATACGTTAAATCGATTATACAAAGTGCCACTTTTGGTTTGCGGATTTTAACAAAAATGTTACTGTAACATCCATCCCAGGCATATAAAAACTTTAAATACACAATTTCAGTTTCCTGTAGGTTTTCATTATTGAGTTAGACTATTCACACACATTTTACGAGACTTGATTATTTAGACTCAGGAAATCTCAAAACGTGTAGTTGCTCTAAAAATGCAAATTCGAAAATTTTCACGATCGCAATACTTTCTCTTATTACATATTTCATATATAGGTAAGTGGAATTAAAAAAGGGAAGGTTAAGGTGGCTCGGGTACATAGAGCGTATGGCGAACAATCGTCTCACAAAACAATTAATGTGTGGAGAGATTGGAGGTGCTCGAAGACGTGGACGTCCTAGGATGAGATACTTAGACGACGTGGAGGCAGACTTACGGCAGCTGGAAGTTAGAAGGTGGAGAGCTGTCGCTGCCGACAGACCAGCCTGTCTGGTTATTTGTGAGGAGACTCTTGGAAAGCAGTAGCGCCAATAATAATAATAATATGATATTTTTTAAAACTAAACTTATACCTTTCGCCTGGATACGTTTGTCAATTTTTTCTCCTTTCATTTATTTCATTTAATTATTCTTTCCAATTTTTCTGATTTGTAAACTAAATATTTAGAAAAACGGGAGTATCCAGAAGGGAACCGCATGGCACAAGTTCGTAGTTTTAATTAATTGTGTTTAAGAAGAAGAAAACTATAAATTTTCTTGAGAGAGAGAGGCAGGTGTGCCCAGAAGGGAGTTTTATTTTTCGGTTAAATTTTTGAGATGCCACATTTTGAATTTTATGGGGTATCACATTTCGACTAGGTTATGAATTTTCGAGTTGAAAATTTTCAAACCAGTGAACAAGGATAAAATCATGAACTAAACCACTGCAAATATAATTATGTATGACCTACGATTTTTTAATATAATAAAGAATAAATTTCATAAATAACATTTATTTATGAAATTTCTTCGGAAAAGGGGGGCGTTCCTGCGCCATCGGCCAAGGGAGGAGGAAAAGTTTAAATGTTAAAAGTTTATATGCTATAAAAAAATAATAAAATGTACTGGCAAAATTACCTCAAGATGAGAAAACATTAAATATAACCCATATAAAACAATAGAATTACTTTTTTTGTTAATTATAAAAATACTTTATTGCAATGAAGAGAGCACATGAATATTAAAACAATTCGCTAACAATGAAAAATTTAAGATTCACATAGTTCCAATTTTAAAGAAAATTAACGATGAGACATTCACTGCTATTTATGTAGATGACACAACAATTCTTACAAAACAGCAATACCTTACTAACTCTACAAAATCACTTACTCAAATTACAAGATTTATTCAAACTATGGAAAATTCGAATTACTCATGACAAATCCAAACTCTAACATTTATTCTGAGAAAAAACACTTGCCCGCCAGTTTATATTGAGAACAATCAAATTCCTCAAAGGGATACGGTACTTTACCTTGGACTTATCTTTGACACGGGGCCTGCATGTAAAAATGAAACGTAGGACACTTAACTAACGACTCATAATACTTTACCGTCTTTTTTCTAGTTCTTCAAAACTGAATCTGAGATAGAAACTGAATACATTATATATGCTTACTTAAACCCATGTCGACATAATTACCACAAATAAACGGTATCGCTAAAAAGACCCACCTACAAAAATTTCAAACCTTCCAGTCAAAATCATTGCGACCCATAAAAAAAGCACCGTGTTAAGTAACTAACAGAACTCTAAATACTGACCACCTTCCAACAGTTGATCAACATATAACGATCCTTTACCAACGATTTTATTCTAATTTACATGGACATCACAACAGATTAATAAGAGCCATGACCACAGCTGACATACTCCAGAACACGAGGAGAAGACTAAAAAGGCGTTGAATGAAAGACGTCAAAAGGCAATGATGTCATCTCTCCCTTCCTAAAAAATTAAATTTATTTCTTAAGATGTTTTATATTAAGTGATATTTGAATTTTATTTCATTCATTTCTCTTATACAGTTGCTTTATTGATAAGCTAAAATTAATTATTTTAATACCTTATATATATATATATATATATATATTCCAAAGGGTTAGGATAGCCGTACGGACTAAGGCACTTGCAATAAATAGGTAATCAAAGTTAAGCAACGTCGAGCGCGGTCAGTACTTGGATGGGTGGCCGCCCGATTTGGATGACCGTCCACCAGGGAATGGCATGCTGCCCGAGTCTCTCTTTTCCCCTGGGTATGTGTGACCCATCATTCTACTGGAGGCAACTCACGCCGAACGGGCATAGGCATTTCATCCTGTGAACTACTTTTAATTTTTATTGTTTTAAATAATTAATTATTTCACATTGTAACCTGCTATTAAAAATTGGTTAAATATAAAATGTGAAAGAATTTGATAATTAACTAAAGGAAAAATAAGATATCATAAAGGATTTTGGAAGTTATAGAGGCACCGAAGAAACTATAATTAGATATTATAATAAGTATTTAGGTCTAATCGATTACTAACATGGGAATCGGCTTTAGCCTTTACTTATAGAAAGTTAACACTTTTTAAGCACTTGGCTTCTCAGTGAACGATATTAGCAATTTATTATTGTCCATTTTTAAATTCGGTTTCGGTTCTCAATATTTTAACAGTAATATTGATTTTTTTTTTTAAGCTATATAAAAATTTAACATGTATTTATATTTAATTGCCCATGAACAGATCAACTAAATAACTATAAACTTCAAAATGTATTGTCGATTTTAATAAATTAAACCACTAAATATTTTGATGATTTTTTTCTCTTCGAAATGAGAACGTTGTTAACTTAGTGAAACGATATTTTTGATATGAAACGGGATTTGTGTGATTTTGATACACTTATTGAGTTTTTGGATCAATAAATAAGATTGAAATTCAGAAACACTTACTTCAAAGTTTAGCTTCATCGAAAATGTACTTCGTCGCTTATTCATTAAACTGGCGATATTTTGTTTTTTTAATCTTCATCAAATTGACTTAAGCAAATAAATTAAGTTAATAAAAATATACCTTAGACTATATCATTCCATAGGCATTCCTTCGTGGAGAGGGAATGACTGTGTGCCCCCTAATTCTGCTGGGCCACCTTCTAGCTTGACTTTCCTTTCCTTCAGTCTCTTGGTAGTCTGCGGGTCTCCGTCCACCACTCCTGGGAAAACAGCATCTATCCTACGATGTTATTTTTATATATTTTTTTCTACTACCGCCATTTGTGACATATGTGGAGGGGGGGGGGGGTTGTTAGAATGGTACAATCAACCCTATCCTAACCAGAATAAGGAAATTGAGATTAATTCACTGAGTCCGCCTCCGCCGCCGCCGGCCGAAAATTTGAGCCGGAGCGGGGCAATCTTGTGTGCAGAATCATTACCCATTCAGTTATATTTACATTTAAAAAATGGACAGGTATAAATTATTTATAAAAAAAAACTTAAAATATTTCTCGATAGAAATTTTTAATTAAATGGTGAAAATTAAAATGTGAGGATTTCTCGAAAAATAAACCGTCTGGACTGATAAACTTTATTGAATTGATCTGAATAAAAAACCATTATTATAAATTATAGATTTTGACATATAAGTTTAAATATTAATCTAGCTGGACAGTGAACGATTACGGCCGTTGGAATTGCCCATTAAAAAGCCCGAATAAACGAGACTAAATTGCTCTCAATACACATTTCTGGGAAGCAAGAAATACATTCAAATTTGACGAATAGTTCATAATAAAAGAAATAATTTTAACCGCTATATTAAAGAAATGATTACTGCAGAAGAATCGCGCCCTAAAAAAATTTTGAATGACGAAAAACTAAATGTTATTCAAATTTAATAAACTCATATCAACAAAGGCCATTATAAACAATGCAACAGTAAAAACAAGCGAATCAATAATAATATTGTATATAAAATGCAAACAGATATAAATTTCTTACCGTAGTGGTACTGGAAAACCCATAAACCCTGGGCAAACCTACTTCCATTGACATGAGCAGTGGATCCAGGAATTAATTTTGGAGGTTGGGGCTTCATCCCGAAAGCTTTTTTATATGTATATATATATAAATCTCTAACGATAATTACTTTAGAAGAACTTATGAAATGACGTTTAAGTGATTATTGAAGTCCTATGACAATGTAATTACACGAAAAACAATACTTTTAGTAATAAGTTTCTGTTCTTAATCTGTTCTTAATTTATTTATAATATCTTAATAGTTAGTGTGTTTCTAATTTTAAGTCATTTTAATGTTTAAAATTATTTTTAAACAATACATTAAATTTAATTTAAAACATTCAATTATTTTATGAAAAGTAAAGAGTCGAAACGTCGCCAGAATATAGTACTGATTTGTGGACTGAAAATCAATGCGGATATTTTACTTGAATATTTTTATATCATCTACAGTCGAGAAAAAAATATTAATAGGTATATAAAAATATAATTGCATATCATTTTCTAGCTTTATTTCGAACTTAATTCAGTGACGTGCCATTAAAAAACAAAGAAAAAAGATTCTTGGTCTTTCAGTATGTATATTTTGAAACCTTCATATATTGTTTTCTAAAAATAAGTAGTATTAAGAATGTGTAATAAGGTTATTTTGAAAATCAAATTAATAAATAGAACCCTGTTGTGGCGGGGAATAATCTTAGAAAAAAATCATCCAAACTGTTATTGCTGATTTGAAACATGATGGAACATCATCAAGCCTTAGATGCCAGTAAGAAACACCGTGCCTCAAGATAAGGACATTAAGAAGAAACAACCCTTAAGTCCCTGGAAAGATTGTGATCATTCCCGAGATAACCTGGAATGGAAAGAAAAGCTAAGACCTTGAAAGGACCCCAGGAGGGTAAAATGTTGAAAAATAAAGTATAATTCTTATCTTTGACCACTCATTTTATTACTTAAGAGTTCAGGATATTATTCTACAAATATTAAATTTTATTATTAATTTGTAATTAGTCACGTGACAACTCTATACATCCATTCGAGGCAGTAGCTTTTGAAGCAAATAACTAAAATGTAGGAAAAGTTATATATATATATATATGTATAATTTAAAATACAGAATAAATAAGAAAAAAAAATCTACCACGCACCATCCAAGTCAACTGGGTTTGGATTTACGAAGAACTAAAAAATTGTGAAGTAAAAAAAACAACACAAAACAATAAAACAACCATAAACGCAACGTTGCGGCTGTTAGTATTATGCTAACACCAAAAGTTTTTAGTCCGGCCAAGGGAAGTTCTTAGGTAACGAGCCAACTGAGCCTTGTCTCGTACACACATTGCGACTTAAGTTAAGCCTTTATGTGGCAAGCCGTAAACCTAACCTAGTTCATATATCTAGGAATTTCGAAAAAAACATACAATAGGAACAATTATACTGCAGGCGTTTTCTTCTTCTAAATTAAAAACAG